CTGTTCTATTATTTTGCTATTATATTACTATTATGTTACTCATATTGACAAACCTCCTGTTATTTTACTGTTATTTTACTGTTATGCTGTTGTTATGCTGCCATTATTTGGTGGATATAGGGTAAAATAATGACAGTTTTTTTTTCTGTTATTTACCTATTATTCACCCTTTATTTATTCGTTTGACCTGTGCTTTTTGCTAAGATATTCTTTTTGAATATTAATGATGATTCATATCAGAGTTTTTAGTGAGTAAAAATTTCACACTGTCTAGAAGGTAACTTCTAATCACCTTTTGAAGGTTTTCTCTGATCAAAAAAAAAATAAAAATAAAAATAATATGATATAATTTAACTAATTTACTAAATTTTTTTTTATAAAACTTGGTAGTTGTCACATTTATTCATTATTATATAAGGTAAGTTTTTTTTTTATTATAGATATTAATCTGTGAGCTCGAAATTTAACATTAATTTTTTTTTGAAAAGAATACATTTAGCATTAGAAACCCAACATTCAATTATGAACTAGATGAATAAGATGCTTTAACATTTATAATTAATATATTTGTATAATCAAAATATAGAAAAATTTAATAAAAATTGGTTATATACAAGAGAAATTTCTTGAACAGCATTCCAGAATGACTAACGCTAATGTTAATAAGAAACTTGATATTAGCGTCAACTCCTATTCGGTTTATCTCGTCTTTGATTCTTTTAATCAATTCCTGAAATTCAGTCATTGGGTAAAAAGCTTTGCAAAGAACGAAAAAGTGAAATAAGAACAAGATGTGATGTAATTTATTTAACTATCATATCGAATTTAAGATCAACTTAAGTTGCTATTAAATTTATCGTACAGGAACTTAGCTAGCAAAAATAGATAGTAGAATTAATATAATTAGCAAAATTAGCAAACTAAAATTTATTATAAATTTATATTTACTTCGCTAAAGTTATGTTCGTTAGAATATAAAAATTTAACCTTACAATACTTTTTTAGTAAGTGTCCTCCATTTATTATCTAAAATATGCTTATAATATAAGAATGAATGATTTAAATCTAAATAAAAGCTTTAATTAAATCAACATTAATTCTTGTTTATCAGTTACTTGAGTTTGAAATCTAGTTAAATTTTGTTGATATTTCACCAGGTTTAGTAACTTGGTTTTGTCTTTTGCATTAAATATGAATCTAGGTTATGTTATTTCTCTTTCTTTTCATTTAAAAGCGTTATCATATTTAAGAAAATTTATTTGATGTGATATTATTATATAAATTAGATCAAATGTATATCAAAAAAAAACTTTCTATAATAAATAAATTGATTATTAATCAATTTTATTAATAAGTTCTCTATACCGATACATGCTATATTTTACCTACAGTACCTGACAGTAAGAAATATTCAAAAGCGCCAAATTTTGATTATATAATCAAATTTGATCGGCTAATTTTTGCAAAATGAAGTCTGATTAGTAAAAAATATATATATGGGGATGTGTCAATAGAAACCAAGCAAATTATTTTTAGCGAGTTTTTTTAAAATTTTAAATTACAATATCTCAACAACTATTAAACCAACTTTGATAATTTTTTTTTCTTTTAATTCTATAACTATATAAAATTAAAATACAATAATTTTTATCAAGTTTGATTAAATAATTGTTGAGATATTTTACTTTAAACTTTAAAAAAAATTTACTTAGAAAAAATTTGCTTGGTTTCTCTTGACACACCCCCATATAACAATTTTATTTATATATTGAACACCAATTTTTTTGATTACATATAATCTTTAAGTTATAATAACTTTCTAATTTTATAAAAAAAAAATAAAATCTATTCTAATAGAATTGTAGCTTAGACTAAAAGCAATAAATCTGTAAGATGGATTTTTTTTTAAAGTGATTTGTTTCTGAGTTATAAGCATTTTTTATATTTTATAGATAAAAAGTGGATATTTCTTACTGTCCGGTACTGTAGCTTATTTGAGCCTAATAGAAAAACTATATAAAGAGTCAGATTCGAACTGAATCTTATTTTTTTATTTTATTTTTTTTCGAATAATATCGAATCGAACTCCATCTTCGAAAATTTTTTAAAAAAACTGTCATCCATAATTCTCGCCGTCACGATTATTCAAACCGTTTTCAACAGGTTCACCCGGGTGACGATTTTGCATCCAGTTCGGATCTCAAGCTTGTCGTCTCAATATATGAAGATTGATTAATCCATTCTATCTTTCGTCATGCATGAAAATATTCGTTGAGATTGTTGAAATGCAGGATTGCCTTGTTTTAGGAATATAAGATGAGTATTTGTACGTATATTTAATTTCCGTAAGTATTAATAGAATTTTTGTTGATAAACGTAGGTGTGTGATTGAATATATTTAGTTTTAAGTTTATCGGTCCACAATATAACGCTAATGATTTTTGGGAGATTGTGCTCGGAACTTGTAGGTTCATGTGACATTATCAGTAATAAAGTACATAATATACAGGGAAAAAATATTAAATTAAAACTCATCTTTAAATGTATTACGAGATAAGATCTTGAGTTTTCATTGGTTTAATAAAATTAATATAAATACTAAAAACGCTTGTTTATAAGAGAAACTCTTCTTAAAAACTACTATTTCAATGGACTTGAAAATAAGCGATCAATGCCCGGTTTATGCGTCATTTTTCGGGCACGCTGGAGTTGCAGCAGCGGTAGATGCATAACTTCCTTATGGTTCTTTTTCTTAAAGAAATTAAACGTTAGCTAACGTTTTCTTTTCAAATTTTAAAGATGATCTTTAGCTGTAAATTTATTTTAATTTAAAATATTTTTTTTGCTATTTGCCTCAGTTTATTGTTTATAACGAATTTTGTGGATTTATTAAATTCTTTTTACTAAAAAGATCCCAATAATAGCTATTGGTGCTGCTTACGGAACTGCAAAAGCTGGAATTGGAATCGCGGGTGCTGGAACTTTTAGACCTGAACTTAATATGAAGGTAATTTTTATTTATTCATCACTTCTACCTGTGGTTATGATTGGTACTATTGCTGTTTATAGACTTGTTATATCTGTTTTAATATGTGGACCAAGTATGTTTCGTCTTTTTATCAGTAAATTTTTGTTTCTCAGTCTAAAATTTCTAATATATATATATTTTTTCATTAGTGGACCCAAATAAACAATATTCATTATTTACGTAAGCTATATTTCTTGTCCAAGTGAATAAGTAAATAATAAATGTTTTTTAATTCTAAATTCGTTTATTTTTTTTTCTTAGTGGCTTTATTCACCTTGGTTCAGGTTTTACAGTAGACCTTGCAGGTTTAGGCACCTCCAAATAAGTTAACTTTCATAAATATGAGGAATGGACTAGGAATATCACCGTATGACACTTGTTTTCAACTAGGTGTTTTTCAATTCCATTTCTCATATGGCTAGGTATTGGGGAAAAGGATGAATTTGATAAAAAATAATATTTGCAGAAAATTAATTTTTAATTCAATAAAATTTTTTTTATTTTAAAATAAAAGATAATTATTGAAAAAATTAATCTCCTACAAAATGATTTTTTGTCAAATTCGTCCTTTTCCAAACATCTATCTATATATTCACCCTTGAATTTTTAATGATCTTTACTATCTATATATTATAAACTTAACATTTTAAAGACTATGTCGACAGACAATATCTACCTATTTTGGAATTTTTATGTATCAATTAATGTCGTCTTTTGAAAATTTTCTTATCGATCATGTGATCGATATAAATATTATACCTGAAATGTATCTGCAAGTTGCATTTCAACGATTCCAGAGTTTAGTGACCTATTGCCAGGTTTAGCTTATATCGTAATCATTAGATGGTTAAATTTAAGTGTTTTTTATTCAATTATAAATATCGACTATCTAATTAAAGAAAAATAATTTAAAATTCGAACAATTAATAAAATAAAAAAAATTAGTAGTAAATTTAAGGAATTAATATTTTCACACCCTTTTTTTTGACATTGTCACATCTTAATTGATTAGTTAATGTCTAAAAAATTCAACCAATTAGTTATCAACTAACCAACTAATCGATTTTATCGACTTTTGATCTGTAAAATGATTAACATTTCATTCGAATATTTTTTTTTGTTTATGTTTTAATTTTTTTAACCATTGTTACTTTATTATTAAAATATATACAGTACATAATTTACAAGTTTATTTGAATAATAATTACAAGTTTGCAAACATTATAAAATAAAAAATAATAATATTTTAAACCAACAATCTTATTTAAAAACTATCTATAAATTAAACTTTATATAAAAAAATCTTGTCGTTATTTAACTATCAAATAAATCGATTTCTAAAAAAAAAAAAAAAAAAAAATTGAGAGTGAGTATTTGAAATGACCAGTGCCTTATTCAGGACCTCCGGGTATGACATGTCGACCTGGCTAAGTAACGGAAGGGCGTCTCGATATTTTAAAAAAAATACCTGACACCCTAACTAGAGTATTCCCAGTGGACAAACTTTTATAACGGCGGTCCGTGTGTTTCGTCTAACTGGGGTATACTACCGCCATGAGTAACCTAGAAGCCTAGGAGCGATACCCAGAGTTATGTTTTAAATAACTTGAGATCAAATACTCCATACTCACCATAGGCTTAAACAATATCTACAACGTAAAAATAATTTTGTATCTAGATATGTAATGTTTATTTGAAAAACAACCAAAAAAATAAAAAATGCTAAAGCAGAAAAAAAAGTAAAAGTAAAGTTAAAAAAAGTAAAAGTGAAAGTAAAAAGTGAAGCAGAAAAAAAGTAAGATTGAAAGTAAATAGTAAAAGGTGAAAGTAAAAAAGTAAAAGTAAAAAGTGAAAGTAAAAAGTGAAAGTAAAAAAGAAAGTAAAATACGGAAGTAAAAAGTGTAAAAAGGTTGGGTGTTTATATTAAATCTATTGTTTTGAGATCTGCAACCGCGTTAAAATCTACGCGTATTAAAAAAAATCCAAATTATATCTGTTCCGATTTATTAATGAAAAAAATTTGTAACACTGCAAGATAAGTGCTAATTTTAGACAGGTGCAGGTGTTAATTTTAAGTGACGAAATTAGCATAAAAAATAGTAGACAAATATTATTGTGAATTATTTGATTTTGTATTTTAAAATTTGAAATTCTTAAAATTATTTAATGAACTTTCATTTTATTCGCGTTAATTAGCATGTGCATAAATGTTATTTACATTTAGATCAATGAATCGCGAAACAAATACTAATACAATTGAGGTTATAAAGAGATTCGAATTGTGAAAAATGTGCGTATTGTAGCAAATATAATACTGTA